AACACAAGCGGAATTGACAGTCAATTTATTTTTAAAAGAGGACAGAGATTTTCCATAGAAACACAGCCCAACAAACACAATACCCGTAAAATGGGATCCTTGTCAAAACAGCCTGTGGCCATAGCAGGCAAGGATCACAACCACGCCAGATAACAGCCAGCATGAAGATATCATGCTCGTGAAAGACAAAAGGCCAATTCTCTGCACTGGTGCCTCCCGCAGCCCTATGAGGAAGCATCACCCACCGCACCAGGCACCACTGGCACGCTCCGAGTGCACACCTAGGTCCACTGGCGAGTGTTACAATATTCCCTTTCCTGAGTTAAAATGCCTGCAATCATTTTGATTTGAAGATGTGTCTATTTAAAGTGACCTGTGGCATTCGGATACTCCCCAAGACCAGGACCTCTTTCACCCAGGACTGCACACCTGCCAGCCTGGAAGCAGACTAGAGAAGACCATGGCATGATTTATCTTCTCGAGATTAAGAAGATAAAGCTGAATATCAGGGCATCATTTAAAGCTAACTAATAATTTTTCCTCTAAACCTCCAATTTAGCTTAAGGCATGGAAATTTATGGTGTTTGCATGTCATATACTCAAGCAAATAATTCAAGTCTATTACTACACACCCCAGTCTTGTTTAAAAATGATGCAAGTCTGCCTTTAGGGAAGAAAAATGAGCAATCCACAAGAGTTTTTCACCCAAAAATCCCCAAACAGCTCCGCAGTTCCCTGGCGAACAACCAAGAGAGAAGCAAAGAACATGCAGAGCTGCAGAAGCAAAGGGCCGTTAGTCAAGCGCTCCAGCGCTCTGCCGTGACGTGCAGCTTCTCAAAGCAATGTTTGCTCAGGAGAAACACCAACAGAGGATAGATATTATTGACCTGTTCAACGTGTTCCCTTCAAACACAGCACAGGGCAGCTTGGTTTGACACTGACACATACAGGCTCTCAGCAGAGCCCGTGGCGACCGTTTGTTTGAAAATGCATGGGCAAAAAAAAAAAGTTGCAGTTTTTGAAGCTTGGGATATTTGACGGAGACTGCTGAAGATGATACTAGTAATGCTTTGTACCGTGAAAACTCCAGGAAATGTAGAGGAGAAGCACATAAACATTTACAGACCCTGTAATGTCAGTGCATGCTCAACATCAAGATCCTTAAAATAAACGAGCTCCAAAATGGGTGAAGTGTTCACATCTTGATGGACTATAAAGAACTCATCTCCACCTCTTACAAGATCTGTAGGAACTCAAGATCCCTCATTTCAGACTTTGAGACATTCAACCAAAAATATGCAAGGGGAACCTGGACATCAGCTTTCCACCTCACTCAAGACATCTGGAAGTTATTTGTTTAGTCATTGTCACGATCCCCCTCGAATGGTCCTACCAACAATTGGTATTTTCTTCCACACACAAACTAAAACTTTTACAGAGGAACAGCAAATTTTTAGTTGTATTCCTTCTCTTAGTTGTATTCCTTCTCTTATTACCAACAGTACAATCTGAAGTCATATTCTCCAAACATTAGTGGTTTGTATTACTACTGTAGAATAGTGGAGATTATTAGAAAGAAAAATCAGCCAAACCAAACACACAAATAAATCAGCGGAACATACTGCAGCCCTAGTAATTCTCTTACTTCATTAAAAGACCTTATTTTTCCATCTAGGAATGCCATTTATATAGTCATTTAGTTGACTAGGCATTCGGCAAGCAAGGTCTCCTGCTGCTGCCAGTAGCACTGGGTTTTACCTCTGCTCATGGTGGGGCTCCTTGCAGACATGTGCCCGGTGGCTGACAGAAAAGGGATGACAAGCTTTGACCACGACAGCTCTGCAGTCTGTTGAATTCTTCAGCAACGGTAGCATTTCCATGCTGGTGTCACCCACCTCTCCCAAAAACAGCCTCCTGTCTGCACACCTCCCAGGTTATCAGGGAAAATAGGTGGCACGGGCTTGCTCCCAAGCACAGCAATTCTAGAAGAACCAGAACCTGTTCTGGGATGGGTCTGTGAGTTGCTGGTCCTACAAAACAGTTTGACACGTGGGATGATCCTGGATTGGCTCCCTGGCTATAAACTCACTCTCGGCTGTAACTGGGAGTAATTTCCACGTGTGGACTGTCTGATAAGGAGAGGTTTTTTTATAACATTCAGAACTGGTCCCTCTGCTCCCACAGAAAAGTACAGTAGTAATGCTCATTGCTCAGCCAGAAGAAAAAGTCAGATAAAGACCCAGAATTTCTGAAATCCCACCCAAGGAAAGTTTTGCATGTCAGGATGCAGCCACCTGGCTTGTAGCATAAAAGACAAGAAAAAAAGAACCCTTACAGTGAAATGAAAAACAATAGCAATAAAAGGATAGAAGAGTAAACTGAAGTATTATAAAGATGCTATGCTGGTTCCTCTGTATCTAAAAATTATACCTTAAAGCCTCAGTAATACTATTTAGACATTTTAAAGTACCAACAAGCAAATCTCCTGATCTGTAGCTAACTCATGACCAAATGCAGCTTGGTCAGAGCTTACTAGATTTTGAACAACGTGGCTACTGATGAATCAGTGTAACTCAGCGCAGTACAGTGCGGATTAATTAACCTCCTTTAAGCCTTCCCCAAACTTTCAGCATAGATAGATCAGCGCAAAGTATTTCTTTTATGCACAATACCAATTACAAAAGTGGTTTTCTACACAAAGCTGTCCAGAGTGATAGCAGAAGCATTTTAATGCTATTGTGTAAATTTGAGTTCCTCCTTCCCTTGAATGCTACGCTTTGTCCTAGATTATCAAACTGAGTTTCCAAGGCATTAATGAGCAACTTCCGCTGGGGCACGCAAGTGTACTCTGTACTTCTGAAAAGTCACACAGACAATCACATAAAAGAGTTAAAAAAAAACCCAAAATGCAAAAGGAGACAATAGTAACTGAAGGCTCAGGGACTTTTAGATGAGGAACAATAGTTGAAATTTGTTTTCATTTCACTCGGATGATGTAACTACACACATCACCAAGACTGATCCCTGTATAACAGTGATCAGCACAAAAAGGATCTCCGGACATTGCTAAGGAGCATTTTCATGACACAAGAAGGAAAGGACAACTCATAAAATAAGGTTACAAAATTAAAAATTACAGAACTACAAACAAGACCAACTTACAGAATCCCTGCTGAAAAGACATTATTAAGGAAATCTAGTCTTCTACCAAGCTTTGGTGATTTTAAGAACAGTCAGGATTTTCCCTTGGGTGAGGAAAAGTTTGGGTGTCTGCAGTGACCAGCCTATGAGCCGCCTGGCAGGGGAAGGAAATCCCTCTCCGAGATGTGTACGTCCATGCACTATCAAGAGTTCCCGTCCCTGCTGTACCTGCCCTTGATGCCTATCAGAAGGCAAATACGGGCACTGAGCTCATCAGGGCTGGCTGTTTTAATCCTTTGGCACCTTGCAACAGGATCCTTTAATTTGATACTAGGCAAACATACCATTACTGGTATGCTTTATTCTTACGCCTAACGCCACAGACCTGGTCAGGGAGAGCTAACGTTACAGAAGATTATTGCCAGGGCTCCCCTCTGCCACGCTCAGGGACCTGGGCAGAGACCCATCGCTGCTGTTGAGATTGGCTCTCTCACACGTGTGTTTCAGCACTAACATCTCTCCACTGGGCAAAATCACTGCAGCTGCCTTTCCGCTACTGGCAGAAATGGACATCGAAGATAAAACCAGTAGGACCCTGCTTCTTTCCTGAGGCTCTCTATTCAGGCTGTTCTTAGAAAACGAATTAGCAGTATCTAGGGTTTTTTAAAAGGGACAGTCCAAATGATGACACCCAAGTTCAGTCTCTGTCTCTCTGAACTCTCTTACGCCCTGCGTTCTTGTTCTCCCCACTCTGTGTCCTCATGGGGCAGAATCAAGTCTTTCTCTGCTCTTCCTTACATGAGAAAACAGCACCAATTTAATTAAAAAAAAAAAATAAAATATCTTTTTGGCCAAAATCAGTTCAAGACACTCCAAAAGTTCAATGTCAGCATACCTTGCAGTTTGACTCAGCCCGTGCTCTTCACGCTCGAGGAGCCAAATGGGCACACTTGCCCTGGGTGAAGAGTCCCTCTGTGAAAGGTGAAAATTCCCCCCTCCACTTCCCAGGTAGGCAGAGGAGATAAGGCATCAGATAACGGGGAACTGCCCGGCATTTCCTGCAGCCGCTCTGCTCTCCCGCCGGAGCTGTCGGGGCTGGCTCCAGCCCCTTCCCCGGGCATTTAAAGCGGAGGAACGGGGTGGATTTCACCCTAATCCATGGGGGAGTTCGGAGGGAGAGGGAAAACTCGGGGTTTATACACACGCAGCGCCTAAACGTGCCATTAGTTTCATGTATATAAATAATTAAAATAGATATAGAGATACATATATGAGATGCATATACACAATTCAAAATTTATAAAACGTGTTTAACACGGGAAAATATTGAAATACATGAAAATAGATAAAATATATAAAGAATGTATGTACAGAGGCACGCATGTACTATGATTTCTGAGACTTTTGGTGTGGCTGGAGCTGGCAGGCTCCGAGGCTGCCGGCAGCGGGTCCAGCCCCGACCCCGGTCCCGGGGGTCCAGGTGAGCTATTGGCGGCGGTGAGGGGGGGGCGGGGAGGACCGGAGGGGTCCGGCGTTGCCCGGCCCTCAAGGAGTTACGGTGCAGGAGCAGGATGACTTCATGCCGCTCTCGGCTGCCCCCCCGTCCCCCGTTCCCCCCC